GGTGGGGGGAGGTGAGTGAGGCGCAGGGACTCCTGTCCGCAAGGGTCTGGGCAGGCGCAGGAGCAGGTCTCAGGTTCTGCGCTAGCAGAGAGGGGAGGGGGGCTCCCGGCTGCGGTGGCGGGGGGACTCCGGGTTGTGTTGGGGAGGGGTACAAGGGGAGACTCCCCACTTAGGGGATGCTGGCGATGATGGGAGGGGGAGGGGCTCAGATTGCTGCGGTCCGTGCAGGGAGCTCGGCCTGAACGGTGAGGGATGCGGTCCAGGGCTCCTAGCCGCTGTGGGGGCGGGGAGCGCGGGCTGCGGTTATGGGAGGGGGCGGGGCCACAGGCTGCAGCGGTGTGAGGGGCGGGGCCTTGGTGCCTCTGTGGCCGGTGGGCGACAGGACCTTGGCCTGGGCTGCGCGGTGGTGTGCGTGGCACCCACATCCCACTCTCTGTGTCCACAGACTGCGGAGACTGCGACGCTCCCCCGCATCCGGTTGCCCCCCTGGGCCACGGCCATGGCGCTGGCGATGCTGCGGGACTGGTGCAGGTGGATGGGCGTGAACGCACAGCGCTCACTGCTCGTCATGGGCATCCCAGACGACTGCGAAGAGGACGAGTTCCAGGAGGCTGTGCGGGCCGCCCTGTGGCCCCTGGGCAGGTACCGAGTGCAGGGCAAGGTCTTCAGAAAGGAGCTGGGGACCAAGGTAGCCTTGGTTGAATTTGCTGACTACTTAAACCGCAGCTTGATCCCCCGACAGATACCAGGCAAAGGGGGGCCCTGGCGGGTAATCTACCTGCCCCAGGTCCCTCATGCTGAGTTACAGGAGAGACCTGCTTTCCCCGTACAGCCTCAGGGGCAAGAAGTGGCTGACGGGGCAGGTGAGGCAGGAGCTGCAGGTGAGGCAGGATATGAGGATGTGGCAGGAGCTGCAGGTGAGGCAGAAGCTGCAGGTGAGGCAGGAGCTGCAGGTGTTGCAGATGCTGCAGGTGTGGCAGAAGCTGCAGGTGAGGAAGCAGCCACAGATGTGGAAGGAGCTGCAGATGAGGCAGAAACTGCAGGTGAGACTAGAGCTGAGAATGTGCCAGAAACTGCAGGTGAGGCAACAGCTACAGATGAGGCAGGAGCTGCAAGTGAGGCAGGAGCTGCAGGTGAGGCAGGGGCTGCAGGTGAAGCAGGAGCTACAAGTGAGGCAGGAGCCCCGGGTGAGGCAGGAGTTGAGAATGTGGGAGAAGCTGCAGGTGAGGCAGAAGCTGCAGGTGAGGCAGAAGCTGCAGGTGAGGCAGGAGCTGCAGGTGAGGCAGAAGCTGTGGGTGAGGCAGGAGCTGTGGGTGAGGCAGGAGCTGCAGGTGAGGCAGGATATGAGGATGAGGCGGAAGCTGCAGGTGAGGCAGGATATGAAGATGTGGCAGAAGCTGCAGGTGAGGCAGGATATGAGGATGAGGCGGCAGGCCCAGGTGAGGCAGAAGCTGCAGGTGAGGCAGGAGCTGCAGGTGAGGCAGGAGCCGCAGGTGATGCAGGATATGAGGATGTGGCAGGGGCGCTAGGTATGGCAGCAGCCCTAGGTGAGGCAGGAGGCTCAGACGAGGCCGACACCTGGGCGCAGCAGTGGAGGCATGCCCTGCAGCCCATGCTGGAGAGCCTGGCCTACCAGGAACTGAGACCCTTTTCGGGGCGAGAAGAGCCAGGCCCCGGGGAAGAGCCCTTTGAGGGCTGGCTGGACCACGCCTACGACATGCTGTACCTGTGGCGCCACGTGTCGGAGAGGGAGAAGAGGAGGAGGCTGGTGGAGTGCCTGAGCGGCCCGGCCCTGGACCTCCTGTGTGGCCTCCTGGCTGAAGACCCCGGCCTCCCCGCGCAGGACTGCCTGGTGGCCCTGGTGCAGGTGTTTGGGACCCAGGACACGCGCATGACCGCGCGGCTCAAGTTCCTCACCTGCGCCCAGGAGCCTGGGGAGAGCCTGTTTGCCTATGTGATGCGCCAGGAAGGCCTGCTGCAGACGGCCATGGAGAAGGGGGCGGTGCACCCGGCCATCGCGGACCAGGTGCGTGTGCGGCAGGTGCTGATGCGGGCTCGGCCCAATCACACGCTGTACAGCAAGCTGAGGAGGATGCGTATGGAGGGGCGGCCTCCTGGCTTCGTGGGGCTGCTTCGTTTTGTTAGGGAGACCGAGGCATGGGAGGCTGCCCAGGCCAGGAAGGAGCCGTCCCAAGTGGAAGAAGGGGCCCACCCAGCCGGTGGAGCCCCAGCTGCTGCCCCAGCTGCCCCAGCCAATGGAGAAGCTGCCTCAGGCAGTGGAGAGGCCGCCCCAGGCAACGGAGATGCCACTGAGTTCCCCCTGTCAAAAGAAGATGCCTTCTCAGACAGCAAAGATGCCACTGAAGCCGCCCCAGCCAATGAAGATGCTGCAGAAGCTGCCCCAGGCAATGAAGATACTGATGAGGAGGTCCCAGCTGACGAAGATGCTGCCCAGTCCGACTCAGCCAAAGAAGAGGCCGACCAGGTCTACCTAGCCAATGAAGATGCCATAGCAGCTGCCCCAGTCAGTGAAGATGCTGTCGGGGAGGCCTCAGGAAGTGAAGATGCTGCCCTCACTGCCTTAGCCAATAATTATATAGCCCAGACCGCTCTAGCCAATGAAAATGCTGCCAAAGCTGCCCTAGCCAATGAAGAGGCCAATGAGGCTGTTCACAACACTGAAGATGCCACTGATGCTTCTGCAAAAGCCACCGCTGCCACTCACAAAGAAGAAAGTGCTCCTTCCCCAGCCCAGGTGAGCAGTGTTTCTGGGGCAGGCCCGGGAGCCCCAGGCTGTGGGCTCCAGGGCCTCGCCCAGGCAGGAGACCCAGAGGCCATGGAGGCTGAGGAGCCTCCTGAAGAGCAGCTCCAGCCCATCCTGGAGGAGTTGGAAAACAAGGGCGAGGCTGGCGAGATGAGCCTGCCCGAGTCCTCCTGCTCGGACCAGTAGGCTCAGACGGCCCCGGGGCCTCCGCTCCTCTCAGGCAGCAGAGCCCTGGGGGCGGCGGAGCCAGGCCAGGCCGTGGTGGCCTCCTGGCCCCAGGACAGCAGCAGGGCAGAGGGACGGGCCTGCCTGCCACATCCTGCCCCCAGGCCCCACCCCCTCCCTCTAGGGCCGGCCACCCCCTCAGTCCTTCCAAGGGGGAAGGGGCCCCTCCCCATTGCAGCGCCACACCTGCCCAGAGGCACCCAGACCAGGCGCACCTGGGGACGTCCTCCCCCGCTCCCGTCCACTGGGTCGGGCGCTCAGCCTCTGCTTTCCCGGTGGAGATTCTGGGCAACGGTTGCTTGTTCTTGGGGAGGTGCGTGTGTGCTTATCCGAGCAGTTTTTCCCCCGGAGACCCCGGCCCAGTCCCGGAAGACAGCGGGAAGGACGGACGCGGGAGTCGCCACCCTCACCCCGCGAGCGGCCGCTGGAAGGAAGAACGGACCAGGAACCGGGGGAAAGATCCTCGGAGACTGTGCTTGAAGCTCCATCCCAGCTGTTGTTTGTGACTCAGTTTCCTCGACATGGTGACGTGTGCTCTGCTGTGTTTTCCAGTGTTCATCTGTGACTCTCCCATGGGGCCATGGGGCAGGGCCACGCCCCAGTGGGTGGGCTTGGGCTGGGGAGGGGTCCCCTGAAGTGAGTGGACATTGCCAGAGTCCATCGTCCTGACAGGAGGCAGAGCCTGGGTGCCCCGGGCAGGGAGAGGTGGGGAGGTCCGCACTGGGGGGTGGGGGCCTGAGGCTCCTCGTTAGGGCCCCTGGGAGGAGGGAGGCCCCGTGGCCTCTGGTGGTGTTTATACGTCCCCTCTCTGTTGTGATTCCCTTCCCTGCAACGGTTCCTGTTAAGTGTTTCTCTTCAATAAATCTCGTTGAGTGTTTCTGCTGAGTCTGGCCTCTGCTGTGGGCTATAAAGGCGAGGGCCTGCGGGGGGCAGTGGCGGTGGCCTGTGTTCAGCTGACAGCTTCAGCTGAGGGACCACCGGGGACCTGGGTGTGTGTGATGCCCACTGACCCACGGGACAGGCCAGGCTTCCTCAGCACTGGTGGAATGGCAGGGGCAGCTGCCCTGTGCCGCAAGTCCTGCCTGGGGTGCCCCAGAGGGCAGGGGACCACCTGCCTGGCCAGCTCTGAGGAGCACCCAGACCTTGGGACCAGGCAGGAGGTGTCAGGCCATGGGTGGGGGCGGCCCCTGGGTGCCGGGGGCCAGGCTCTGTCCCCACGGCCTGCTGAGCCCTCGGTGCCTCCCTGAGGAGCCCCCAGGTGGAGGGCTCTCCGGAGCAAGGTGGCCAGAAGGGCAGTTCTGGGGGGCGTAGTGAGGGATGAGAGCTGGATCAGCAGCCGGCTCCAAGCTCCGAGACCTGCTCTCTCACCCCCGGGGCTGGGAACCTCCCCAGGGGAGGGCAACCCTCAGCCCCCTGGAGCGGACTGGGACCTTTGGGAGAAGGGAGCAGCGACCGGGCACCTGCATGTGTGAGGGGGCAGCAGTGTTGAGCCCGACACGGGGTTGTCCCTGGGGCCAGGCTCCGTCTGTGCCCACAGGCGTCCTCCAGCCCCTCTGAAGCTGCAGAGGAAGGACAGAGCCCCCACAGCAGCCCAGGAGCCAGGGTGAGCGAGGCACTTGGGAAAGCAAATGCTCAGGCTGGCCGGCGACTGGGGGCTGCGGTCACACTGCCATTGCTGACTGGTCTGAGGGGCCCTGGGGAGAGCTCCGACGGTGGGGCGGCAGAGGGAGGGGGAGGGCCAGCGGGGCCCTGGACATGCCCAGGACAGTAAGGAACCGGGAGGGGGTGGCAGGTCCTCAGCCAGGAAGGCGGCCTCCTTGGCTGAGGGGGCTTGGCCGCGTGTCCCTTCAGGACGCAGTGCAGGAAGACGCTGAGCTGCCTGCTCGGTGCCAGGCCTGTCTGCCCAATCTGCGAGGGCCCCTCAGGCTGTGGGGGCAGGACGAGAGGAAAGAGACGGGAGAGCCCATCTTAGCTCTCCGTCCACAACAAGGGTCTGTCTGCACCCTGCCCCGTCAGTTGTTCGCGTCCGCTGGGTGCAGTGTTCCGCCACGGGGTGTGAGTATGTGTGAGTGTGTGCACGACAGTGAGGGTGTGTGTGTGAGTCTGAGTGTGGGGGTGTGTGTGAGTGGATTTATGTGTGACTGTGTGTCCGTGAGTGAGTGTGCGTGTACGTGCTGGCTGGTTGGTGGTTTCCGATTCTTTCAGGGCATCACTAAGGGGCGGGTGGGAGGAAGGCACAGGTGGCACCAGGCCCCCTCCCCCCACACGCACAGGAGGAGACCTGCAGCCCCACCCAGGCTGGGCCCCTGCCCACTCATCCCGGGGGGTGGCGGGGGGTGATGCAGGCGGTCCCTCTGCACAGTCCCCACTGCACACAGTGCTGGGTCTGGGACACAAAGGCCCATGGAGGGCTTCCTGGGTTCCTGGGGCCTCAGAGAGCAGCCCACCACTGCTGCTTACTTCCGGGGGCCCCCAGGCTCACGCAGGGCAGGTGGTCGGGCCCCAGGAGCAAGCTCTGCCTAGGTGGTCTCCCTTTTCCCTTTGCCCATCTGAGAGGGCCCTGCCCAGAAGCTGTCTGCTCCTCTGCTGCCACAGGACCCTGGGGCAGGTCCAGAGCGGAGGTGGCCTTCCAGAAGGCTCCGGGCCCGGGTCACACTCTGCCTGAGGTCCCTGTCATTTGGGGCTTACCTTCCTCCAGAGCCCGTGCCCTCCTCCTGGGGCTTGGAGCAGGGCCTGTCTCCCATTCCTGCTGTCCCCATACATGGGTGTCCTTCCCTGAGCATTTCTGTCCCCAGCACTCCAGTGGCCCTGTGCTCGGCCCCAGCTGCCCGCCTGGGCTCAGACTTGTGGCTCCCATTTTACAAAGCAGAAAGCCACAGCTCCCTCTGTCCCCAGCGCCTTGCCATGGCCCCCATCACAAAGAGGGTAGAGCCGCCCTAACGCCCTGTGCTGGCCACGGGAGGGGCAGATGTATCCCCAGCATGGCCGAAAGCTGCCCACATCACCACCAAACAGCCCTTGGGGCCTGTGGCCCTGTTCCAGGACACATCATTCTGCTGGTGATGAGGCCCTGGCACACACCCACCTGGTGTCAGCACAGGCAGATCGTCACGACCTGTACCCTCCATGCTGTGCTTTCTGTGGCCCTGGCCATTCTACCCCACACCTTGGTTCCAGGCCGGCATGGGCATCTGAGAGTCATGATTTCACCTGGCCTAACAAGGGACAGCAGGAACAGCTGGGCCCTTGCACTAGTATGGCCCCCCACCCCATCAGCCATGCACCCTAAAGAAGCGGAAGAGTTTGGAGCCCGGGAGAAGAGTGAGCCTACTCCCCAAACCCCCCTCCAGGAGGAGCACGTCCTATGGCCAGGACTCGGGAGTGTCTTCCAGGAGGGAGGCATTGCCACCACTTCCCGGTACAGGATGCCACCTGGGATCGGGCAGCTCTGTCTTCCTCGTGATGGGGTCCATGGCTCACAGCAAGCTGCTGGGGAAGAAGGAGTGGCGGCTTTCTACTCATAGAATGGGAACCCCGAGTTTGAGCTCAGGCAGGAAGCAGGGGCCAGGAGCAGTTACGACCCCTCTTCTCCGGGTGAGGACACCCAGCACAGGAGGGTTCCGGGACTTGCCCGAGGTCACATGGCTTAGTGAGTGGAGGTGCTGGGGCTCCAGTCCAGGCCCTGGAAACATAGCGAAAGGACTCGCCAGTAAAAACAAAATGAAACCAAAGAGTTGCCTTTGAGTAGACTCTGAGTCACGGCGACCCCATGAGTGTCAGAGTAGAACTGTGCTCCATAGGGCCTTCCATGGCTGATTTTTGTGGAAATAAGTCACCAGGCCTTTCTTCTGAGGCATCTCTGGGTGGACCTTTCAGTTAACAGCCAAGCATGTGCGCTGTTTACACCACCCAGGGACTGCGCGAAAGGACGCAGAGCACGTGGTTAGTGGTGAAATCCCCAGAGCCACAGTCCAAGGACCACGGCAGGTAGTTAACCGTGACAGCCCTGAAAGACAGCGGAAGGACCCGCAGCATATTCTTAATGGAGACAGCCCGGAAGCCCAGCGAAGGACGCTGGCTGGGTGCTAGGCTCACGGGGACATTGATTCCTTCTTGGCCGCGCGCGGCTCCTCACCCTCTCCCCCACCCGTCGTGCGCAGGCGCTGCGCTGCAGTCGCGAAAAGCAGGCTTCAAGGCGCATCCCCTTTGTCCTCCCAGAGAGACTGGGGCCCATGCTTGGGTGCTCGCGGGCTCCTCTGCTCAGGAGACGCCCGGAGGCCCTCTGCCTCCTTTGGCTCCTCCGCAGGTTCCGAACCCCCGCCCAGCTCTGGTCTTTGGGGCTGTCGCACCCCGTCCTCCGTCCCCAGGTGCCCGCGGAGAGTCCCCCGGCTGCTGTGCCTCTGCTTACCCACCCGCCTGTCCCTTAGCCAGCGTCTGCTGTGCCACCTGGGCCACCATGCGGAGGGCCAGTTCCTGCTGATCACGGGTGGGAAGAGGGCAACAGACGCCCACCTGGAACCAGGCCCTCGGATCGCGGGACCGGTGTGAATGGCGCACCAGGCGGGTGGGCTCTGGTCCCTGCCGGGCCACCCTCTGGGCCTCCCCGCACTCAGGCTGGGCCTGGGCACCCTTGCCCTCAAGACCCGCTGTCCAGGGCAGAGCTGCCCTTGCCCGGGAGAGGCAGTGTCCAGTGCCAGGCTCGGAGACCCCCAAGTCCCCACCCCAGGTGGAGATCCAGCTCCCTAACAGCCAGGCGAGGGCAGGACTGAAGGGGCCTCACACAGGCTGTGACCAGGAGGAGTCCAGGGTGGGTGGGGGAGCCGCTGAAAAGCAAGGGCTGAGCTGGGCCAGCAGAAGCCTGAGACCACCTCACCCTGGAGCCTGGGAGACTCCCCCAGGGCGGGAGTGGGCGTGTGGGGAGGCCTGAACAAAGCTGGACACGGAGCAAGGCTGGGGGTGCCCATGGCAGGCTGTGGCCTCCCAAGGCCCCAGGGCCCCTGCCTCCTGCCCTGGCCCTCAGCCTTCACCCGCTGGGCCCATGCAGGTAGCCGGTCCCCTCGGGCTGTACTGGGTGTTCCGCGGAGGACACTTCCCTGACCCAGGGCCAACACAGCACCTGTTGTGTGGGGCCTTCAACCTTGTCAGGCGACAACCCCCAGGACAGGCCGTGTCCGTGGCTGAGCTGGGTCAGCGCCTCCCTGGCCTGGGGCTCTAGCGGCACAGCTCAGAGCTGGGGCCAGGGCTCTCTCTCTTTCTCACCCTGAGATTTCCCGAGGGACCCAGGACTTTAGTTGCAGTCCTGGCCTGACTTCAGGGGCTTCCACCCGCGTCAGGGGCGGGGTCTTTCTGTTATTCTTTGAGTATTCACCACCGCTGCAGCTCGAAGGGCAGCTGCCCACTGTGACCTGGGCCCGGCTGGCCTTTCAGGTCACCATCACCCACGAGGGCCCAATAGCCTCCTCTCTCCTGGGGCCCAGGACAGGCCAGGATCGTCAGGCTGTGGGGTGGGGCCTCTCCAAGGCCCACAGAGAAGCAAGCTGGGCCCTGCCAGCAAAGCCCCAGGCAGCCCCTGCCTCCTGTGAGAGGGCCCTCTCCTCCCCAACGCGGGCCCAGGTGTCCCTTGTCCTTGCCTGCGCCCTCTCCATCCCCTCGGGCCCTCCTCTCCCTCCAGGTCCCTGGCTCTGCGCACAGACACCTATGCTTTTCTCTCCCTTCCTGTGTCTCTGGCTTGCATGGGAACAGTTGCTGGGCCAGTGGAGGGGAACTCCAGAGCGAAGGGAGAGGATGTTGATTGTGATCCCCAGGGCAAGCACTAAGAAAAAAATCCCTTAACAAATAGAGTAAAAGGAATGACAAAGGAACTAAGATGGTACACTCATGGAGGAGTTCAAGTTGCGAGTTGCAATTTTGGGGGATTCTATGGGGAAAATATTGAAGGATGCAAGAAGCATCAAAAGAAAATGGAAGGAATACAGAGTCACTGTATCAGAAAAATTGGTCGAAGTTCAACCATTTCAGGAGGTAGCATATGATCAGGGATTGATGGTACTGAAGGAAGAGGTCCAAGCTGCACTGAGGACATTGGCAAAAAACAAGGCTCCAGGAATTGACGGAATACCAATTGAGATGTTTCAACAAACGGATGCAGCGCTGGAAGTGCTCACTCATCTATGCCAAGAAATTTGGAAGATAGCTACCTGGCAACCAACTGGAAAAGATTCATATTTGTGCCCATTCCAAGAAAGGTGATCGAACAGAATGCAGAAATTATCAAACAATATCATTAATACCATACGCAAATAAAATTTTGCTGAAGATAATTAAAAAATGATTGCAGCAGTACATTGACAGGGAACTGCCAGAAATTCAGGCTGGATTCAGAAGAGGACGTGGAACGAGGGATACCATTGCTGATGTCAGATGGACCTTGGCTGAAAGCAGAGAATACTAGAAAGATGTTTCCCTGTGTTTTATTGACTATGCAAAGGCATTCGACTCTGTGGATCATAAAAAAATTATGGATAACATTGTGACAAATGGGAATTTCAGAACACTTAATTATGCTCATGAGGAACCTGTACATAGATCAAGAGGCAGTTGTTCGAAC